TGTGGGAGGAGTGAAGAGCACGTTCGCCCGAACTGAGAACCGTGCAGGAATGCGTAGTGTGCGGTCTCAGATCGCCACCGATTCGGCGATACACTAACCAATAGCTGTTTAGAAAATGCACCTAGTTTGGAAACAGATTAATCACCTATCCTAGTTAACAAGTCAACCCTTTATCACAAATTGGGAGGCTCACTGGGAGGAGGACCAATGATATTTCATTTAAAAAAATCTACTGGGATATATGTATGTGTATGTATATATATTAATAACAGATTCTGCCGCCACTAAATTCCTGTGATAAAAAGCACGTCATTTAATTTGCATGTGGATTGTAATTAAAAATAATTAATTGCCAGTAAATTGAGTTCTACAAATTTTACTCCGTCAGTTAGCCACTAAATCGCATGGATAGTTAGTAAATCATTTATCGCTTTTTGCAAGTAATAAATTCAACTTCCAATTAATCCATCGTGAAAAATCGTCATCTTTGATGCGCCACGTTCAGGCAGGGTTAATCCAGAACCGTGACGGATTTGGCAACTCATTATTATGAGAATGAACCAAAAGGCATGGTCGCCTAATGCGTGGAAGAATGACTTTTCTCCGAAAGCACTATAAAATGAGCCGAGATGCGCGGCAAATGACAAAAACGCCAAGGTAAAATAAACCAATATTACATGCGTTCATGCATTTGTTGTCGTCATATTTTGTCTTTGATGGCGCACGCTTGATTTTTTTATGGTTTGTTACAAGAACCGTAAAAAAAACTCATCAATTCTCAATCACGTCAATAAAATGTAGCAATAACACGATTGTTATTATATTGTTAAAACGCGTCCTTTCCCAAGTACTTGACAAAAACGAAAAATTCTTTCTTGAAGCGATAGCTAATAAAAGTTAGTAAATTAAAATCTATCTATTAAAATGTAAACAGAGATTGATGTTTTAACCTATTTGTGCCGAAAGGTTGTTGAACTAATTGCGCTCTGATTTCCACCCACATATCCTTTTGCCGCTTCGTGGTCATGACATTCTGGGCGAGTTGATTCGCCGTCATCTTACGCTAATTCGCGATATCCTCTCCATGACGTCACAAACAGCCTGAAGTCAAATTTTGCGAGCACCGAATTGCATTGTCTCAACACGCATTAATTTGCTTCATTGCCTTGCATTCATTGGCCTCTTTATTCGGCTTCGACTGAACCTATATTATATTTTCCCATGCATTGTCGAATTTATGCGACGTCGCTTGATTATAGTGCGGCACCGCTCAACATACCACCAGCGATATGAACTTCGCACTTCCATTTGATTGCCCTCTATGAAGACGATAAAAGTAATAAATTGGACGAAAAATTCAGAACGATAACGATATCAAACAAGCCAACCACAAAAATTCTCTAGTTTACAATACTTATTTTCTTATGTGATTTTTATTAGAATCATTTAAAAAAAACTCATTAGAAAATTATTCCATCAAGAATACTAAAAAAATGAAACCTTCTATGATATATCAAAAAAATCCTGTTCTGTCACATAATTTGGGGTAAGTTTCCAATAAATCTGATGAAAATAAGCTATTAATCACTTTTTTCGAATATACTCGTAGTTAAATAACTCTCGTTATTATATGTCAGAAGCGTCCTTGTTTCATTCACGTGGGAGTCTTAGTGGAATTCTCATTGCAATTCGCGATCTCACGAGGACACTTCGTACCCGAATGCACTCGTCCCAGAATGAAGATATCGTTTTGTTAAAAGGATGGAGGCGGCGCAACAAAAAAACGCCTTGAGAAACAGACGCGCACGCCGATGAAAAACTGAACGCAGGATATGTTTGACGATAAAAATGACTATTTTATTAGTCTTAACACATTAGATTAATTATGAATTATAGTAGAAGACAAATAATTAGCGATAAAAACGTGGAAGAAGAAGATTGATTCGATTTGATATTTATAAGTGGGCCACATCAAGAATTTGCAAATCAAGAATATTGGTATATAATTTATGCCACTTAAGGGGGTATTCTACTATAGAATTTTGAAAAAATCGAAAATTTTTTTTTTATATTTTCAAAGTTTAGTTATTCAAAAATATGTCATTAAAAGGATTTTTTAAAATTACTATTTTTTCCTGAGTTATAGTCGTTTTAGTGACGTGGCCTCGGTTCGGGTCCGACTTGTCTCAAAACTTTGAACGCGTTTTCCTCGAAACTACTTTTTTCGAGCTGGCGGTAAGGATATCTCGAGTTCTAATGAACCGATTTACTTCAAATTTGGAGAGGATCTTCTCTATACATCGCTTTATCGCGTGGACCTTGCCCAAAACTATAACTTTTTATTTAGTATTTTTAAAAAATTCGGAATTGTTAAAAAAAAACAAAAAAATTTTTTTTTTCAAACTGCCGCTATTCAAACAATTTTTTTTAACTTATCCAAGGGTCATATCATAGCGGCATCTATAACAATTAAGAATCCATCTATTTTTTATGTTTTAGATCACCAGGAGGGTTGGAATCATGCACGCCAGAACACCCTCTTTTTTTTGAGTTCCCAATTTGACTGCTCATAACTTTGTGATTTTTTTTAATAATTTTTTTATGTAATAATAAAATATCAATTAACAAATCATAAAAAATCGATAATAAAAATACTATTTGTTTCCTTTATACAGCGCTTCAAAAACCAGGCGAAACTCATGCCTCTACTGTAGAATACCCCCTTAAGGCATGTATAACCTTTGATATTCACAACAAAATATTTCACTGTGTACATGGTAAGTTTTAAATTTTATTATACAAAACACAATTTTTGTGAATGCAATAATGGGAACACGTTCAAACAAATCCATCTCCCTTTGGACCCTATGTCAAAATCAGTATAGTTTAGCTGTAACAACCGTACCCAGTCTCCCCAATTTTTCTAAATATTCTTCTAGTAAGTTGTTGTATTTTAATACCGATAGTGCTGGTGACATTCAGAATCGTTTCTTTGGAGCAAATCAAAGAACCCGAGAATATAGTCTGGGTAAATACTTGAGCTCAAAGGGTGTTTGAACAAGAGAAATGCCAGCACGGTCGCTAATCGGATGTGGCCCGTGCATATATCGACGTGCAAACGAAACAGAAAAAACAGAAAACATAAAACAAAAAGACGATTTGAGGTGTGTGTACCTGCGTCGATAAGTCACAGCGATCGTGCAAGACGAAACACACGGGGCCGCGGTACAATAACAATAATAATATGTGGGGGACAGACAAACATAATTCAATTCCGGAGTGCATTCGAAGCACGGAGGCTGACGCGCCGGTACCCGGATTCGCCTTGTACTAAGACCAACTGATCGCTCTTTGGGTCTTCTTCTGATGGAGAATTTTGTTCGATACATTCATTGTTTCAGGGGCCAATTCCCCGATTATGTTATTTTAATATTGATAAAGCTATGCTAGAGGTCTATAATCATATGAGTTGGTAAAGTCCGTCATAAAGTATGTGATTAATGTCACCTATGTGGTACCAAATGAAAAAGTTGCACTAATGATCAAATTCTTATTTGACATTTTACGTTTTGGAGGTTGGATTTTATGTGTAAAATGCTTGATTGCACACCAAATACCATAACACTTCGTCACTACCAACTCATACAAATATAGACCAGTAACATAACATTACCCGTAACATATCAATTTTATCGCAGAATTGGTCCCACATTTTATGTTGCATCCTATCTTTAACTTCCCGTAGGGTAAGTTATTGTAATCGGCCGAAAATCGGAATTGAAATTTTTTACATTTCTCGACGCTTTGAAAGTTTCTGAACATTTTGGCATACCACAGAAAAAATGGATGTGTGTGTGTGTGTATGTATGTATGGATACAAATTTCTAGTCACGTTTTTGGGCGCACGGATCAACCGATTTGAATGGTTCAAAAAACATCCGATTCCTATTGATAGGGAGATGAGCTGATTAGTTTTTGACAAAGGCAGGTACAGCCGTTACGGAGGTACGGAGCAAAGGGTGCAGAAAATAGAAATCGAGTTTTTGAGAGAACGGAGTATCCGATTTGATTGATCTAAAAAACATTCAATTAGTAATGATTGGGAGAAGTGTTTATTAGTTTTTGGCAAAGGCAGACCCAGCCATTTCGAAGATACGGAGCTAAATGTGCAAAAAATGGCAGTTTTTGAGAGAACTAAGCGTCCGATTTAAATGATTCAAAGAACTTTCTGCTTGTCTTAACAAAATTATTGATTTTGGAAAAAAAAATTTCAACTTTTTTTTCATTTTTTTTAAAATGTTTTTTTGTATATCGAAAATAATTCAGATTTTTCTGACTATAGTTCTAATATACTTTAAAAAAATAATTTCAACTTTGCAATTTAGTTTATATAATTCTTAGAGATATTAGACAATGTTACAATATTAATAATAATCTAGTTGAAAATACTCAGTATTCCTCGAACATTTCGTTACGGTACGGGAAGTTCCAGCAATTTGCCTTAAGGCACGATGCCACCCACCCCACTAGTTCTCTATAGTAATTAATTCTCATGAAATGCCCCAATGACACAAATCTATACTGAACGTATCATTGTATAAGTATATAATGGTCTGAAAAATCTAAAATGTCCACACACTATGTTTATTTTATTTTTCCTAGAAATAATATATTCCATCATGTTTATTCAGGACTGTAGAATTCCTTGAATTTATTCGGAAGTCCGTTACATTGGGTCAATAGTATTCTATAAACATTAACGTAATAGTCAAAACTCAAAATAAAATGCTAAGTTATTTAAATAGACAAAGTAGGTCGCTTTCTATCAATACAGTTCATAATTTCGTACGCCATCAGGGTTTGTTCTTATCATTTTACAGTTACAACTGAGGGAAAAAATGAAGATAGTTTATTATTTCCCGGGACATCTTTTATCGCAGGGTTTATGTGTTTTCCCATTAAGTAAATTTTTAGATAACATTTTTCGATTTATGGCTCACCTCTTGCGGAGACCGCTATAAAGGCCTGTGCGTGCCTGAGAACCATTGAATAATCTGCTCCTCTCAGTGCCAACCTCGATAGTAGTTGTCCTAGAAAATCCTGCGGCGTTACTACTGACACGTCCCATTTTAGTTTCGCCAGAACTAGGAGCTCCCATTGCTGGAAAAGGAATAAACCAATATAGATATCTGACACATATAAAATAATACAAATTTAAAGCAACGATAAATTATTCAAACAAATTTCTACTACTGAAACAAAAATGGTAATAAGTGTTTATCTATTTATTCAAACAGTGGCCTATAAAATATTTCTTAAAACTTTGCAAGATTATTTGTGAATTGATAATTTAAAGCAAGCTTGTGCGTTAAAATGTGCGTGTACGCAAGCATTAACACAACATAATTTATGGAAAGTAATATGCAGTAAAGTACTTCGCTTATAAATTCATTGTCGATTAATGAAATGAAATAATTTATCACATTATATTATTAAATATTTTTTAAGATTATGACCTAGAAATTTGAAATAAAAAGTTTTATTAGTATCTGTCAATGTCATCTTCGTCGTGGGGACAATAGAATATTAAAAACAATCATTAAAAATAACGTTGAAAAATTAAAAATAATTGGCTCATTGGCACAAAAAGCTAATTGGTGCATAATATTTCTTCAACAAAAACAATGAAAGTACATTTAAATCATAGCGTCGTAAAGTATTAAGTTATTATGTAAAATGTACGAACATAAAATTGTTATGTCGGCGAGCCGAAGACCGAAGAGTATATATAGGTCTCACGCATAACATTCCCAAAGGCATTCGCGAGCTTTTGTCGGGATTGTCGGGTTCCAGACGCCCGGAATGCAGTAGGGCAAGTAGCTCCCAAGAATAACCCGAATATATAACCCACCGGTCCACTGGCGCACAGAGGGACCGCAATCTTCGCATTGTACTTCGTGCGATATACTTGCTACATACATGATCAGTGGCGAAATGGTAAATAATACTTAGTTGTGTATTTTCTCTAAATCCATAGGCTTTTGGTATTTTGAATACATGGGATAGGGAGGAGCACCAAGTCCAATTTGACATTCAGTAATTATACTCTCTAAACTAGTGATTCCCAACATTTTGATCGATGACCTTTTGTTATTTTCTAAGAAGCATCATTATCCCAAGTTTATAAAATTTCTACTAAATTGTTTCTATTAGCCGAATCGATTATTGCTTTAATTAGGTTATTCAAAACCTTAACTGGACAACCAGACCAGCATTGAGTGGAAAATTACCAAAATGACATTTTCAAAACCAATTTTAACATTGCTGTTTTTTAAGGCTTCTACACCATAAACAGCACCTATTCTTTGGGAGCATCGTTTTACCCTTTGCAGAAATAAGAATGCAAAATTTGACTAAAATGTTTGTTTTGATATTGCATCTTTCAACGCTCTACAAAACCGATGAAAAAAGTATTTAATACTAATCGACAGCTAAATTTCTCACTATACAATACTACCTCAACCTCAACAAACCCAAAGTATCATTTGAAGCAATCTAAATATCACATTTCTAGTGCATATTTCAAGTTAAGTCTGACTGACCTTAAAGTACTTATACCAAGCAGTCAGAAACTTGATTTACCTATTTTTTGGTAATTTTCGTAAATTGGAATATAGAAGTTTAAAATAATTAGTAAAGGGCTACTGGAAGCGAAAGAATTGTTGCATTCCGCAACATTCTCTTTCATAATGTTTTTGTTAGTTTTATATAAAGTTTATTGCATACGTATATCATTTTCAGATTATAATGGGTAGTTGTAACTTCATTATAAATTAATGAGAAAAATTTAAATTCAAGCTAATCTTTTTTAAAAGTCAAGTCAACCCGTCAGAAAAAACTCCGGCACCAGGAAAGCAAGGTTGAAAATTAAAACCGTCCCGGTCAAACCGGGACACCTTATTGTTCTAAATCTAAGAAGCATTTATTTGTTAAATGTTTTACCGATACTGTACTACATTACTTTAAAATCACCAAAAATTTTAAATTGCTCCCCTGAAATTACAAACTGGCCTCCGGTGCGGAGTGCGCCCCACGTTGGGAAACATTGCTCTAAACCAAATGAACAACCAAGATTCCAGTCACAGCACATAAGAACCATATGTTCTGTTAATTTACCAGCCAATTCCTAAATATAGTAATATATTTTTCTAAAATTTTATAGACAAATGTTAAAATGACATTTTGTGATTTATGATACTCTTCCCTTATTTATTCTATCAACAGATTATATAGATGATTGACATAATTTTGGAGTAATTCCATGTAAATTTTTTAAAAACGATGTATCTCTACGGCAAAAGCCTTTGAACACAGCGCTACCCGGAATGAGCAACTTGTGAAAGCTCCCCGAACAATTTCAATTTCGAGCTTTAATCGTACGAAGCGCGAAGCGCACTGACAACGATTCTGTATTTCTTAGCAAAGATATAACTAAGATTAGCAAAACTTCATTAAAATTAACAAGAATTTTCAACATGTTTTTCTGAAAAAAGTTGTCGAAACTACTTTATCAAACACATATTGATTGGAGATCATGAACATTATATTGTTTTATATTATGGACATTATTGGACATTATTGGAGATCATGAACATTATATTGATTTATAATTCAACTGCATTAGAATGATTTTTATGAACTTCATTTTATTATTAAGGAATTTATGTAAGCCTATATTTTGATCAAGCCTAATGCCAAACCTTTGCAGTTTAATTTTCAAGGTATGATGTTATATCAATTACATTACAACTCTGATTTCTCCCTTCGTGCATAATATCAAAATAATTACTTTACGCACGTTCTGCTGACATTAAAACGGAAAGAATATGTAAATTATCGTTGTTTTATATCGTTGGCGGAATGATGCATTATATGAACCTCACATATAAGTGATAATATCATTAAGAAGATGTTATTGCATTCCACACATGGACGACCAGGTCCAATATAATTAAACATAATTAATGAGGCAGTGATATGCTGTTTCGACTCAGAGAACAACTTAACAAATAATGTTACCGATGATTTGGGAAAAGATCATTTCTTTTTGTCGTTCAAATAACTTTGATGAAATCAGCTTGATAACCAATTGGGTGGTCAACGAAAATTGCATTAAGCCAAAAATAATAGGATAAGTTTTAAATAATTATATGGAGGCAATGCCGAGTGTTTTATATGCACATATTTATAATGTAATACGAAGTGATGTTTGGGTTACCCGCACTATTTCGTTCACAGCGATAAATATGAATCCTTTATACTTTATAACTAACTACAACCGATATGTGAGACCAACACTGAGGGGGAGATGAGAACTCCTTCATTCAGCACATTCTTTTGCAAAGAACTCATAATCATTATAAAAGATTTTCTTGATGAGCAGCATCAGAAAGATCACTTATTATTCGAGCTTAATTGTTGCAAAATTGGGGGCATCCGTTAATCACGTGATCGAGTTTCAACAATTTTTGGAACCTCCTTTATTAATACGTCAAAATATTCAAAATGGAACCACCTTTCCCCAATCAACATCACGTAAATTTATAATACCAAGAAAAATCGTAAAATTTTTGGAAAATTTTGGAGAAAATTTCACTTGATATCTTATTAGGCTTGTCACCCCTTTTTGCTTTTTCGTGATTTGTGCTCACGTGATTATAGAATATTCCATTATGAAACAGCAATGTTTTCTAATTGAGAGTTAGATCAAGAAACATTTTTAAAATTAATCAAATATCTTATTAATTGCCTATGAATTCACAAACAATAGTGCATATTAATCAAATCTAACACTATATATTCGCATTCCAAAAATTCATTTTGACAAGCATAATTCATGATTCAGCAATGTTACAAGTATCATGCAGTTTAATTTATGAGCATCAGAAAATTTTGAAAGAGATCATTTAGTAATTAATTGCAAGTTATTTTGGGTTAAATAAATGAGCATAAAATAATGTATCGTCAAAAAATATCATGTTATCCTTGTTTTGTAATCTCAGGGAATAAGAAATTGCGGTTCAAGCGCAAGCAGCAAAATTTTTACCTGCGCATCCATTTATTCCTTCACATGTAAACTGTCACCTAATAAACGAGCGAGATAACATTGGTTCGGCATGAAACAATTTACAAAAAAATCAGTTGAAAAAACTGTGAGAATTCGATAGAATTCATAAACGAAACAAAATATTTATATTTATTTACTCGTTTATTGCCATTGGAAGAATCCATAAAATATTTCTACCCTGTCGTAAAATGTGGCGCCCCGACTGAAACTAATGTGAAAAATAATATAAAAATTACTGAAGAAATATTTATGGAAAAATAATATTGATTTCGTTACAATTGTTGGTGTGTATACAACTGTGTCGTGTGTATACGTGCACAATGAAGATAATCATTATATATTTCATCGATTCTTATGAATGCAGAATACCTGTGATATTTATGCTCTGAGAATATAAAATTTATGAATAAAAGGCATTGCAAATGCAAACTAGCCATTGAAGTGAGCTTTGGCATTGTGAATCATTGTAGCGGCCTTTTAAGTTGTATTTAATCGATTTTCAGTACCGACAAGCGATATAAACAACACGTGAAATGTTAACAAAGAATTTCAATTTAATGTCCCTATAACAATGCCAACCATATGATATATTGCGTTCGCGGTAAAGCAGAGTAACCGCACATATAATCAGTGTGCGAATGTCGGCCGAAAGCTCCAATCGCCTTGGGGCTGAAGTATGTGGGAAAGGATTTTGGCGGAAAAGGGGAAAAGAAATTCAAATCAACTTCTAATTTTCACTCATGTAATAATTTACCATATTTTCACCCCTAACAGAACAGCTAAAATACTTCAGACATTAACATTGAAATTCATAAATACTTAACTCCAGACATAAAATACTATAAAACATCAAATAAATATCATGTATAATTCTTATTAAATAATTCATCACTATCTATATGCCTTCAACATAAAAAGTATCATTTCCCAGTATCTTTCCTCCGCAGCTCTCTTCCTATCAGCGCATTCGTATCGCAAAGAATTTCATACAAATAAAATGTATTAACAGGTTAGTTTCAATTTTTTGCCGAAG